AGAGGATTAATAAGTGTTGACGCTCATAGAAAGGAATATACCATCAAATATAAGTAGTTTCTTATATGTGCATATAAGTATTATTTTTTATATATGTATATCTTTCGGACTACCTAATATAACATGAAAGAACAATTATATAATTTTAAATTTATGGTTAACATGTTACATCAGTTAATGGTTTTGATATAAAATTTATCTTCAATATCGAAAATAAATCCGTAACTTATAAAATAATATTTATTTAAAACTGTAGTTAAACTCGATGAATAGGAAGTGACTGAATAGATGGGATTAGAAAGTGGGAAGGGTAATATAGAACGAAGGTTGCAAGGTGGGCCAATGGTCAGATTACAAAAAGGTCTGTTGAATGCTACTATAATGTCGGGTGTTATATAAAGGTTGACCCTTTCGAATGAAAAGAGTGATTGTGAAAATTGGATTATGTAAAGGGCAGAGACAAAATTATTTGGTAGAGGAAAGATGTTTACAATCGGGATACTGAGGTGTTTTTCGTGACATAAGAAAAACAATTAGTCAAAAATATTAAGTGAAAAGTGCAAGACCAAGACCAAGACCAAGACTGAAAAAAAATCGTTTTGTGAATAAAAATTAAGGCAAAATAGTTACTAATACTTGACAATTTTGGTTACTATATGTAAAGAATTGGTATAAACAAAATACTTATTCATTTAACTCTTCCAATTTTTCATATGAACTTAGTTAGGTTTTTCCCACCTTAAAAAATACAGTAATATCACTATAGTAATAAGCTAATAGATACCTGAAAGACCCTAACGCAGGACCAAGACTAAGATCAAGACTGAGTGAGCAAGATCAGGACTCGTCTTGGTCTCGCATTTAGGCAGCACTAATCAGAAGGCAAAGGATGTGCTAAAAAATAAAGATATCATTCCATTTCTCTCTGAGACATGGATCAGTTCTATAGTTACCTCATCTCATTAAATATAAAAAAATATTTCTCTAATAATATTTTTTTTCAAAAACTGATATACGTTTAAACTTTAATCCTTTAATTGAACATTATAGAGAGAAGAGAGCCTTAAATGATCAGAAAGGAATTTCCAACGCAAAATTAAAAATAACATTACTGAGAGTTATCGTAAAATTAGTTATTATATTAACTAATTCTTGGTTTATTTTATGTTATTAATACTCTGAATATAGTCTGTTCCGTTTTCCCTTTGAGTCTGGTATTCAACCCCCTCTCCCTTGGAAATTTCCTTGACGTTGCTGGTATTCCAATGCAATGTAAAGAATTTAGAGATATAAGCTGGGTAAAAGTACGACATTGAAATTATTACATGTCCCAAGATTTCTATTTGTGTTTTTAAAATAAAATTGGATTACCGAAATTTCTGGTTCTATTATACTTTCCGATAACATAACTTGTCTTGTTGGTTTAAATGATTTTATGTAAATGGTTGTTTGTTGGTGTATTATGATTGTTGTTTTAAACAATGAAAGGTAAATTAAGTAGTGTAGTAAAAATGGTTATATTAAATTATTTAAATAGTAATTATGTATTAGCCCTTTGAACAATAAACTGGTAATAATTTCGAAAATTTGCGTTTCATTAAAAAAACAGGTTCCACAAGTATTGTACACTACACGTTAATATTTGATTTTGTTTTTTATTTGAATGCATTTTTTCATGAGTAACATGAGATTGTACTTCTATGGGATATGTGGATGACCTTGCTGGCTATGATAAAATACAACTTAATACAGCCAGAAGGTAAAACAATAATCCGGTCTTGGTATGTTTAGTGCTAGAAGAGCATAAAAATCTATACTTAGCTGGACAGTACACGACAAAATCACTCAAAGTTAGTTTACTTTTACTATTATCAGAAGTCCAAATTCTAAATGGATGAAATTTAATAAATTTATATTAAAAAATATGAATACTAAAAATACACTACACTACACATTTAGTATAGTATATCTAAAGATCTAACGCTGAATGTAAATTAGGAAGCAGAATAGTAAAAATACAAATTTGTAAAGATCTATGACAAGGTGATACCCTTTCTCCTAAAATATTTATATCTGTTCTCTATGATTTGATACAAACGATGGATTGAAAGAGCAAAGGAATTAAAATTATTGGAAAATGGCTGAACAATTTAGAATTTGCTGATGATCGAGTCTTAATAGGAAAAAATAAAGAAGAAATACGATGACGAAACAATTGATGGTAGCATGAGCAAACATAGGGTTCAAAATAAACTGTAAGAAATAAAATTATGTAGTTGTAAATGTTGAAGGTGGTTTAAAAATAGATGAACACCATATAGAAAAATCTTTGTATTTCGGACATCTTATCTCAATTAAAGAGCTAACTGAAGAAATAAGCAGGCAATGTACACGTGAATAGCGCGCACTCTATAAGTTTAAGGAGATATATAGATCTTCAGTGAGCTCTGGAATAAAAAAAAATCTCTGGATGAGCACAGCTATCATGACCTTCGGTTTTGAAACATGTATCATAGACAAAAATACTTGCCAAAAATCGAGAGTGACAGTCCAACAGTGGCGGATCCAGGAATTTTCTCAGGGGGGGGGGCGCACCTCTGTACTAGGTGCTTCTCCCACCCTTATCCGTTCCTCCACCACTACCCGTCTCCCCCACTCCTTAGCTGCTCAAAAGTCATCTTTAAATGGTTCTAGCAAAAGAAAACTCTATTTTTAGTAAATTTTGTCTAGTTTACCGTGAAGCATAAGTAATTGTTAATTACTTTGTTAATTTGTTAATTAAATAGTTTTTCTTATCACTTCCTATCTAGCAAAAAACGTGGCTTACATGAAAAATCACAAAACTTTCATTCACTATTTTTCTCCTGAAAATCGAACCATTGTTTATATAATTTTATTTGTATTTATTGAGTTCGGCTATCACTCCTCAAGAAACTGAATTGCTGACAGGGGTCATCAAGGGAAATCTTTTAATAGCCAAAGCGAAAAAAGTATTCTTTGAGAAATTAAAGCATGCCGAATTGTGTGTCAAACGAGCACCTAAACTTATTAATTTGGTTAAGTGATATGATCGATAACCACGGTCAATGAACGCTAATTTTTACCGACATTGTCAAAATCTGAGGAAGATTACAATAAATGATCCTGCAACTTGGAAATGAGTTCTCTAAGAAAAAAACTCAGAATGATTTCTGATTCCAATCATAATCAGACCTCTGCCTAGCGGCAGAATTCCCTGGTCACGATAATAATTTTTTTTTCATATTACATTAGGATTTTCATCGTCTATGAGGATGAATTTTCCTTATATTTCTCTTTTCTTTAAATAGTTGCTTTTTGGAATTTTTTTCCAGCTCTCAGGGTTTTTTTTTTCCAGCTGGATCCGCTAGTGTAGTCAGAAGAATTGAGCGAGTAATACCTTTTCGGAATATCAAGACTAGATGGAAAATTTAATAAATGGATTAGAACAACGTAATACCTATCAGCTATTGTGGAGAAGGTGCACATAATAAGTAACCTGGTAAGTAAATAAAGTAAATTAGTGAACCTGGAGCGAACATGTCATCAGGATGAACAATTTAACATAAACCAGCCAGTTTATAGATTAGTATCCAAGAGAGCACTTGATATAGCCAGCAGACACCATTTCTTGTGTCTACAAGGAGATGAAGAAGACCTTCGGAGGGGTAGCCTGGAAGAGAGTAGGACTGGAGAGAAATGAGTGGAGTCGGGTAGGACAGCTGCACTACTTAGTGTGGTTGCAAGAGAACTAGACAAGTTAAACTTAAAACCTTTACTAAAATGTCGATTTTGTACGAATGTGAATATTAAGTATAAATCAAAATGTAAATTTTATCGATATTTTTTATAACTGTATGTACCAATAAAGGCTATAGGTATGATTGTGTTTAGAAGTTTCTATTTTATGTTATTTGTTTACTTTTTTTTCTTTTTTTTTTATTGTTTACTTTTTTTTTCTTTTTGTTTACTTTTTTTTCTTTTTTTTTTCCAATAGATTTGGATGCATTGCAGCCTCAAGCAACTATAGTCTCCTTGAAGAATCCATGCGATTCATAATACTGGTCACTATCTATCTCTCTCTCTCTCTCTCTCTCTCTCTCTCTCTATATATATATATATATATATATATATATATATATATATATATATATATATATATATATATATATATATAGAGAGAGAGAGAGAGAGAGAGAGAGTGTGTGAGTTGTGCGCACAATAGTCCTCTTTGAATGGTTTTAACAATGACAATCTCAATTTCCATTTAAGGAAAATTTTATTTAGTTTACTATAGAGCAATTTTGAATTACTTTAATCAAATATGTTTTATGTTATTGTTTTCTATTCTACATCAAACTCTTGACTCGCTTCAAAAAACACTTATCTTAAATTTTCTACTTGTCTGCTGGAAATTGGTCAATTGTTTTTTGGAGATCTAGATGTATATTATAGAGAGAGAGAGGGGGTGAGAGAGAGAGAGAGAGAGAGAGAGAGAGAGAGAGAGAGTGAGAGAGAGAGAGAGAGAGGATATATATGTATTTTTTTAAATTTAAATTTCAAGAGATGGGGCATATGAATATATATAAATAATTCATTAATTGACAAGAGTGAATATTTAACATTAATAAAACTAAACATCCATTTATTTGAATGTAAAATAAAATAATAGTCCTGATGTAAATACAAAAACATTACAAGGTTTAAATATTATACAGGTTACATTGAATTTGTTGATGAGATAACTCATCATAAACATGTAAATAATGAATAAATTCAAGGCGTTGACTAAAATAAAAACAATAGGAAGTTTAAACAAATTAAAATTATTGAACAATTATTCTAAATTTGGCATTATTTTAATAAAATATATAATGTCGGTTCATGAAATCGTAATAAATCGATTATATCGATTATATCGAGTGAGTTATTGGGAGGCGACAGCTCCCACCCACCATGAGCTCAGTCTTAGGCCAGCTCTCTGCGAAGCAAGATGTTCACATCCAGTGTGGAGGAGCGCCGCTGGTTCTACCGCCGATGTTCCTGGTTTCTGATGGTACTATGGATCCTTTATATGTTGAATGAGGGTAAGGAGAAACTACTGTTTGATAACAAATTTTTAACAAAATCTTTCATTGACTGGGCATTTGAAAGTGGTGTGTACTGGAATATCAATCTTCTTTTCATTACTGTTTATCTCGATTATTGCCTGCTGAAAGCGGAAAATTACTTGATTGCATTCCTAGAAAGCTTCATCGCCGAATCTAAAGACTGGAAAATGGAATACGATCACTCGTCGAACAGCAACTGGCTCTTGACAATGTTGTACGTGGAAGTCGTCACACCGTTCTTCTGCTTCATACAATACTTCAATGCTTTTTGCATTTACTACGGGGATTTGGAGGAAGATGTGAGGCCGTCCATCAACAGCCCTCCTATCCTCATTGCTCTCTGGGTTCTTACAACTTTGTCATGTTTAGATGCTTTCGTTAGAGTCGTTTATTGGTTCCTAGCATGTCTTCTTTATCGCCACAAGTGGTTTTCTCGCTGTTTCGGACCGGACGTCTATGAAGAGGATTTGGATTGGTTAATACATGAAATCCAAGGTTTTCCTGACTGGGTCTTCTTCCTGCATTTGTGGGTGCAATATAAAATAATACCGCTGAGCACATCCTAATATACAATTAGCTACCGAAGATTTCTTACTTTTATAAAAGATGAAAATAATGGTTGTGATGAACTACTTTTATTTTATTATTGGTGTTATAATATAAAAAATGTTTATTATATTGTATTTATTATATTATTACCTTTATTATATTGTTGATTTTAAACCGAAAAAATCAGTGTATTTTTTTTCAAATATTAACAACATAATTATGTAAATTATGATATTCTGCTAGAGAGTAACACATTAGTAATTAATAATTATATTTCACCTATTTGCTAATGGTTAATTAAAATTTGATAAAAATGTTAATAGATATTAATATATATGTTTACATATACCTGATGTATTTTGATACAAATAAAGTATAAATAATTTTCTGCATTTAATGTTTTTAATTATTGATAATGAACCTTAATTTCTTTGTTGTTTCAATTTTTAATTTTAAGCTATTCTTAGGAAAGAGCGTGGTGAGAATCACTTAGTATACTCAAATTAAAGTATTGTTGCGATATATATATTCATCTTGTAGAGAAAATGAGGTTTCAAAAATATCTGAACACGCTATGGTCTCAATTGAGATTTATACAATCATTTGTTCTAAAGGAATTACAAGTAAAAAAAAAGGTAATTACATATATTTTTAAACAAACGGAAAAAGTAAATATACTACATAGATTGTAAAATCTAATAGCAAATTAGTGTGATAAAAATTCACACATTTTTCAAATAAATACATCCAATGAATATGGGCAAATATATATTTTATTAAATGTATTGAGCCTAGTAAACTTTGTAAACGTAGTAATTTAAAAAATATATATATATCTTTAAATATGAACTTGACTTTAGCGTTGCCCAAAATCGATCTCGGCCTTGCAGTCTTGGTCTTGGTCTTGCAGTTTTGCAAATTACTGCTTCATACAATACTTCAATGCTTTTTGCATTTACTACGGGGAATTGGAGGAAGATGTGGGGCCGTTCATCAACAGCCCTTTTACCCATAAACGGCTTAAACAACGGGAAATGTATTATAAAAAAATGTAAGACTGACGCATCCCCAGGTCCCCCCTCCAAAAAAAATATTGCCCCTCACTTATATAATTAATATGTATCTATATGAGATGTAATGTCAATGTTAGTTTAAAATATAGCGAATATAATATTGGTTTGTTTCTCGAGAATATTCAAGGCACAATATATTAGACAATAACAATCAACAAGTAACATCAGTAATATTTAGAGGAGGCAAGGCTCCCCCCTGCCCTTCTCTGCTTATGCCCATGCCAGGAATTCATTATTTTGTTTTAAAATATTTTTTCCTTTTAAATGAGAATTTCATCTGAGATAATTGCAGTACATTATACAAAATAATGTACCCCCATTATGAAATAATCGGGTTATATTATTTTAAAATAAGGGAGGGGGCAATCAATTTGAGAATGGAAAAATTATTCTTTATTTCCTAATTAGTTTATTTTAACTATATCGAAACTGGATATACGAAAGACAATGCCCTGCTTGTGTTGAGTACTAGGATAAAATCATATCTAAGCCGCTCTTCCAACTATGCGCCGCCTTTAGATATTTTTTTTATATACACGCAAACCTCAGTGTGCATTTTTTTTATTTATGTCCTGGTTTAAATGTTCTCTTAAAATGGAAAACTTAATGTGCCCCTCTCCCCAAAAAATATTACATAAATAGTAATAAGCTGATAGGTAACAGCAAGACTTTTGCGCACGACCAAGACCGAAACCAGGACCGAGACCAATACCAAGACCAAGGTTTGTTGACGCAAGACCAAGACCAAGACCGCTCGGTCTCGTCCTGGTCTTGCGTTTGGGCAACACCACTTACCTTATGATATTTAAATTTCAAGTAAATAAACATATATTTTAAACTTATACATATATTTTTTTCATTAGAAACGTTCCATAAGATTGTAGCCATCACTCACCACAACATTAGTTGTTTTTTTCCCGATACTCTTAAACGACGAGCAACCATGTTTGTTGTTCAGGCTTTATTCTATCAATCGCACTTGATTAAATTGTTTTGTATTTAGTGGAAAGGTGGTAGGAAATTATTAGTGGTTCCACGATTTCCAAAATTTAACTCTTGTTTGGCTATTTCTAATGGCTATATTCTAAAGGAAAATCGAATCATATTGAGGTTATTTGAGGACGTCATGCGGTATATATTCACCATATATTCAATTATAAGCAAAAGAGAAAAAAAGGGTTATATGATATCCGGAAAGCTGGAAAAAAACCTTACAAATCTGACTCTACCTTAAATTAAATTTACTCTGAATTAAACACGGATGAAATATACTGAAAACAACGGGAAATGTATTACAAATAAATGTAGGAACGTAAAACAAGGACAATGAAAAAAAAAATAATAAGGATGTGGTCGAATTAAATCGAATAACGCGTTCTTCGAAAAGTATTTAAAAATAAATTCTTTTAATAACATTCCTTCTTCATTTTAATAATATGGTCATACAAATTTCTTCAGTTAAATCCTTTTTTTTTTGTATTTTAATTTATTTTTCATGCTAAATTTACGAAATATACTATTATTTAAATTATAAATTACTTGTCTTGATTATCGTCATCGTTAAGCCTTAATTTAGTAATAGAAACTGGATGAGACTTAGTGTATAGTTTTCCAACCTATGAAGTTTTATAAAGTATTTATTCATTTTGTATATAATTCTGATATAATGGTTATTTATTTGTTCACATATGCTTAAAAATTAACTATGTCAAAGCACTTTAAATATTTATACTTGAAATTATTCTTTCACTTACACTGCATTTTATAAACTATAGAGGTAAATTTATGTTTCAGTTCAAAGAGGTGCATTGTTAGGGCTGGCTGAATTTAGTTTAGTTTATTTCTGCTAGCATTTTTATATTAATAAATACCATTATGAATGAACCGTTATGTTTCCCAATAACAAACACTGAGACAGTGATAAACAACGTCATTATATTAACTTCTTTTTTTTATGTTCTTTGTATATTTATTATTTTATTAATAGGCTTATGACCGAATCGTTATCAAAATTACTGTTAGTAGTAATGTTTTTTTGTTTTTTTTTAGTATAATTACTATTTAATAATATTTTTAAAAACCTTTAATAACAGAGATCCATCACAGTAGTGTCATTTCTCTCTCATTTTTGTTTGCAAACAGAAGAAATTAATTAATCAAAATATGCAATTATATGAATTTATCTTCAAATATGCAATTATACTCAAATATGCAAAATAAAATTCGAATAATTGCATCACAGTGTACTAAGTCGTATAGATATTTGATCAGCGATTAAAAAAATAAGGCAAACAAAATACGCAATTGCATAAAAATCCGGGCCTTGCTAATAATAATCGCAGACAGTTGATTATTTAAAAAAAAAAATTAAAACCAATTTAGAGAAAACCACTTTGAAATTTTGTCATTCAAGGCCTGTCAGACTAATTCGGAACCAAGCCTCCCCCCTCTTCCACCCATATAGATTATTTTTTTTTTGTCATTAATCTAGATTCATTTATGTGAGTAATCTGAGCCCAAGTACTTGCACAATCAAAATATGTACTCTTTTTAAATTATACCGCATGTATTACACTCAGAGGCTGAAACTTTAATGATTAATTAACTTCAAGATTAAAAAAAAAAAAACTTCCACTTTAACAGTTTCTATGAAAATGTTTTTTAAAAAACGTTTTAAAATAAAAGGTCTAAGGAACTTTTCAGCTTTATTTAAAATTTTAAGGTGAAATTCTAATTAGTAATAAAAGTTTTTGGCTCCATTTATTTCACCAGATCTTTATTTATTATTTTCTATCCTGGCAATGTTTCGGTTTATACCGCCATTTTCAAACCACCTGTAAAGACTAAATTAATGATACTCATTTATGTTGTGTCCAATGTGTTAAATATTGTACCTTTTATTAGAAAAGTTCAACTTTTATTTATTTATTTTTAAAAACAAAGTAACCTTAAAATAAATAATAAAGTTTAAATCTGAGTTACAATTTATCTGTAGTGAATTATTTGATTCTAATGTGTTGTTTGTTTGAGTAGCTAAGTATTCAATTTTTTTTTTGTCAACTTTTTGGCAAAATCGACAAACTTTTAAACAATAGTCTTTTAAAAATAAAATTTCTGTAAAACTATTACTACAAGTTATCCCTGATAGCATTATTGTTTCTATAAACACTTTTTTTTTTTAACTGGGCTGCTTAAATATTATTTTGGGAACATGTGCTGGAAACATCTCCTCATGATGGCCCACAAACTTAAACTTAGGCAATAAAAAAACTCAAAAACAGACTCACTCATAAATACTATTATATATATATATATATATATATATAAAACAAACCAGCTCTCTCCACCCTCACCAAAATTAAATTCTGTTTCCTCTTCAGAGATTAAAGACCAATAAATATTGCAGATCACTATAACGAGTTTAAGAATATTGTAAAAACAAAATATTATGTTATGTCGTACTTTTAATAATTCGACTCCACCGAAAAAGTTGCCATAAGATCCCAGGAATATAATTAACATAAATGTTACTTTTCTTTTTCACGCACACACACAACCAGATTTTTTTTTACTCAAAAGACCTTAAAACGTATATTATCGTTCAAAATTCGGATTCGACGAATTTTTTCCGATTAAAATACTTTACTTTGTTATATATTTCGTTGGGTAGGACAAAGTAAAAATGAAATAAAATTTGAAGGTCTGAACTGACCCAAGTATCGAAAACCATGCCACTGCTGAAAAACTTATCATGAGAGGAACTCATATTTCAATTATACTTCGCTAGATAAATATCCTGAATCGAGTATCTTCAGAACCAAAACTGTCAAAAGTCCGGTTCTAAGTGCTTTGAGTGAAGCCCTCAAATGGATTCCGGGTGAGCTTGGGACTGACTTTGTACAATCAAAAGCACTCCAGGCCATCTACTGCTGAAGAAAACTTTTAGAGACATTTAGTAGGGTTTTGTTCCTCTAGTAGACATTTTTAAACTATTCTGTCTGTCTGTTAGACCTATATTATATTTCCATACGTAATGTACACATAAACATACTTAAATTTTATTAATGAATGTAAAATACTGCATAATTACACTGTACTTTGAGTTATAATAACTTCCATTTAATTTTGTATCCTATCACTCTCTCTCTCTCTCTCTCTCTCTCTCTATATAT